AATTGTCTTTTATTTTCTGGAGTACACTTGAGAGTTCTGAAAACCTTTTATGATTGCTGCATAATTGGTTTATTTGATCGTTGTATCCTGGAGGTGATTGTCCACGGAGGTCGCAGCAGTTATCGACGGGCAATTTCGTTTTAGGATATCGTGCTGTCACGAGACTCGATCTATTGATAAGTTTTTCTGCGCTTTACTGTTATTTTATCCAACAAATTTAGCTTTCGTTTGGTGGAGATTATATGAAAACAGATTTTGAGGATTTTTTTTTTTTTTAGAATGTGTGATTAAAAGTTATGGATTCAGGTGTAAAATTATTTCATTAAGAGGATGTGAGATTGATAATGAATTGAAAAAAATATTTAAAAATCTGTACGAGAGGATCGCAAACTCACTTTTGAATGTTGAGAACCCAAAATACACTGATTGCAAGATTGGGAAGGTTAACCTATTTTTCTCCTAAAATTATAGAATTTATTTATCTCTAATTAAAGTCATTTCCAACTTTTTTGGGAGTACTTTTAATTAAATATAAGTCCTGAGTTTTATGAAATGTGTGGATATCTAACAAAATGTACGCATAATTTGATCCGCTTAATTTAATTTAAACATTGCCAAACACGCACTTCATTCCTAGAAATTAAGTCTTATTTCATCCTTATTTTAAAAACTTATTTTTCTCCAAATTCATTTTCTAACCCCAATAGAGCTCTTGAAATTTTTTTAATGTCACATAGATGAGTGTTTTAACACTAGTGGTGCTAAACACCATTAATCTTGTAAAAATATAGGATAAATTAGTTCTTTTCTTTTGATGGATTTGGAAGGTATCTCCTTTACATTGGCTTTTAGCCTCGTTTGGTGAAAATTAAAATCAAGATTTTAATCTAAATTAAAACTATAATTAATTTTAGTCATACATTTTATGAAATTCACAATTTTTCAATCAATTATTTTATTAATTCTTATCAAAATCTACTAAAAATTTGATTTTAATCCTGATCGAACCGAGCTTAATGGTTGTTCCCTTTTTTATTGTTTCTTTTGACGTACAAAAAAATAACAATAAAAAATAAACTAATCACAACTTTCCAGAGCTCAACGAGCTCGGGCTGACTCGGTTCATATATTGAACCATCTCAATCTAATTCCGTCGAATTATTACCAAAGGAATCAGATTCCACTGTCTCTACTAAAAAGGAGGAATTCGATGTCAAACCCGAATATGAGAAAAGCGAGGTGAAATGGATATTGAAGTTGAAATGAAGCCGGATGAAGAAAATGAAAATGAAATTAAAGAAAAGATGATCTATGATTTAATCGAACGGAAGAAGCGGAAGGTGAAGCTCCAGATGATGTTGTTCGAGAAATTGATGTGTATTTTGCTCCTTCTATTGATCCTATTACTAGGGTAATCAAGCTTCGTTTTTTATTATTCAGTGAAAAGGCCATTTGCATTTTCCTTTTGAAATAAATTTGCATACTGTCGATGTTTATTTTTGTTTCTGTAGTTGTATGTGTTGCAATATCCATTGAGGCCAGTGTGGCGGCCATATGAATTGGAGGACAGTACGGATGCGAAGAGTTACGCATTATTAAAACATTTTTGGTGTATTTGTCTCTTGATAAACGAATCTGCATTTGGTCAATTGACGATTTATAAATTATGAGAAATTGTGGTTGATTATTCAGGTAAGGGTGAAGCCAGCAAGTAAAGAATTTGAAGTTGATTTGGCAGTTAATTTCGACTCCGATAACTAGGATTGTGATGCTGATCATAAAGTTCAGATGATGAAGCATGTTCGAATTTCCCCCCTTATTATATGCATTTATATTATCTGACTATTATATGCATTGGAGTCCATGGAGCGATGATGCTTCATTATAAGGATGGAAAACCCACTCAACTAAAAATCGGGGATAGGTAAAATTTAACTCAACAATTAGAACAGCATCTTAACAATGGCAGGTGCTCAGATGAATTCATGGATTCTCTGTTCCATTTGACAATACTTAAGCCCTTAAGCCCTATTGCTTTCTTTTCTATCTTTTTTGTAATTCAGAGAATTAGCTATGATACTCATTGCTTTATTAGAGGAGGAAAAATATGCATCATCTTTTTGTTTGTAATCTCTCGGTAGACTCTTGCTTCATTATGGAAACCACCTCGCACAAGTGGGTATGCTGTTCGGGTTCTAAGAGGAAATAAGGCACGTTCTATGATCTCTGAGTACTCACTTCATTTCCATTTCTAATTCTATCTGTACAGCAATAATCCCCTGTTAAAGTTCCTTTCCAAGTCTGACTGACTTTATGCTCTTACAACTCCTTCATTTCGTTTTCATGCAGTTGCACCTCAATCCTATTCATTCAGTTGTGCAGCTCCGACCATCAATGCAACATCTCAAGACCATGGATTCTAAAAATAAGAGGACTGAAACTGGTAGTGTTGAAGGTGCTGTTAAGGTTGAAGAGCCCGTGGAAGAAAAACTTTTGGAGGCATCAAAGAAGCAGGTTGTTTTTCCCTTTCTCAACTTGCTTGTTTCTAAATTTACTTTTCGGTTTGTAACCATTTCGGTCTCATTGATTCTTTCAATTAGATGCTAAGAGCAACTACTACTTTCTTGAATGAATGCATCACTTGTTCAGTTAAGAAAGCCCATTTCTTTTTATTTTTTTGGAATATGTAGGAGATGAATTGAAAAGCTATCTAGGCCCTTGGAAGGCCGTCCAGTCTACATTTGCATACTTTTTTTTCCTTTAAAGTAAGTGTAGATAATAACTTTATAAAACTCAAGGTAGATCTGAAATACGCTTATTGGAGCCCATACCATTTCATGTTCTTGCGTCAAGTTTACTTTACATGCAGTGGTCTTTGGTTCTTTTCTGCTCATTATCCTTTTTTGATTTTAGTTTATATCCTGAGACGCATATTACCTTTGCAGACCAAGCCATCAGGCCAGCAAGACTACTGGAGAGGTATGCACTTTGTTCATCTGTTTGCCCAATTTGTACAACGATAATTGACTTCGTGTTGTTGCTATTCCAATTAACCTAACTTAAAACAAATGAGAACACAACTCTTGTATTCATTTGGTTGTGTATTCCATAGACAGATAGAGGATGAATAAATGATTTTACTGAGAGGATTCACATCTCTATGTGTAGTTAAATGCCCATTCAATTTTTAATATACATTCCTATATGTGACTATATGAGTTGAGTAAAAAAAGTGACACTCTATAAAACACCGGGATGACCTTTGAATATTTAGTCCCTTTTTGATGGCCATTATAAAGTGAAATTGGGGGAAAATAATGTTTTCAATAGTGAATTTTTTTTTTGGAAAATGCGTGATTAAAAAGTGGGAAAAAATTTTGGATTTACGTGCAGAATGTTTTATTTTCTGAATGTGCAATTGAAAATGAATATGAGAATTAAAGAGTTTTAATTTAAAGAGAGTCAAACGTGGGCTTAATATCTTGTAACTAAAAGTTTTATTGCCTGTGAAAGATTAACATTTATGTTTATTGTTACTTGATTTTTTGCAAAGTGGCACTATTATATTATTTTGTTGCAGTAGTGGCTGTAGATTAGTTAGGGTGAGAAGGGAGAAGAGCTCATCAATAGAAGTTAAAATTAATCTAAGCTTTGTCTTTTTCCGAGGAAATGTAAGCATATCTTGCCAAATGAAGAGTATACTTTAAAACATCACATAAGTGTTTATTATAGCCCGTGTCCAATACATGACAACGTGGTGGCATAACTACCTCTAAAGTCTAGGCACATCTTCCATGCCAATGTCTGTCTGTTTAGACCTACTGATCTTACTATGCATTAAATTATACTTGGATTTAACTGCATATAATTTTTCCTTTAAATCTTTGTTAATGACTATTCATGTTAGACAAGTTATTTGGTTATGAAATCAAGTTCCTTCACTGAAGGAATATCAGAGTCCGATACATGTATAATTTTCTTTTCCCAAGTTTAGGCATTAAATGAAATATTGTGAATTTAATTGTACTCATTTTCTTTGTTATCATGTTGTTAGAATCTTGTGGCCATTTGTGTGTTTTAGGGGGATGTAAAAGAGCCTTCAATTGTTGCAAATTTTTCATCAATCTCCAAAATTTTAAATTACATGGATCTAATGATTTTATTGTGATATTTCTGGTTTCGATTTTTTCCATAAATCAACGAGGCAAAGATCTAAGAAATGGAGCACAATGCCTTTCATTCCTGCTAATTTGACTTAACTATGGATTTTAAATATTAATTTTTTTCGCACTGTTTTCTCTTTCTTTTTAGGATTGGGTTCCTTTCAAATACCATAAAGCAAGGAGTGACATTGCAGATAGATATCTCTACAAAAGCTGGCAGCACAAGAAGGCTAGCCTATTAATTTTTCTATGAGCTCGTATGCATTAAGACGCCGATACCTTCTATTTTCATCAATTTTCTACAAAGATTACGGAAGCTCCTTTGAATTTTCTGTATTGGAATCTATGTGTTGGTATTAATTCATTTTTATTTTATTTTATTCCAATTTGAAGGCGTGATTATTTGAATAGATTGTGTCCGGGCACCTCTAATGAGAATTTCAGATCTAAAGTTCCTACGAGATATCTGCTGGTGATGAATACTGTTTGTACACTAATGAGACCATTTTCAATGAAAAGATATCTTTTGAATTGTTTCAGATACGCCAGAAATTTCGATCTGTTGTTCTTCATCTTGTTTCTAGTAATTTTTTTGCTACATTATTGAATGTTTAAAGTTTGTTTTCCTTTGATTGATATATTACTATACACAAGCATTCCGAAGTAAACCTGTTTGAGAATGTATGGATGAGAATTAAGTTGGAAAGTTCTCTGGGTACTTGAGGTGTCTTTATATTCAGTTTCTCATGAATACAATTTTCATAAGTATTTCTTTTGCTCTTAACAGATTATTGACATTTAGAATCATAATTTAGCATTGATAATATCACTAGAAGGTAGTTTTGTTGCTTGTATGGTAGTAGTTCTCGGGGTTCATGGACATTTTAATTTTATTACTTCACCTCATTTCTTGAATTACTTTTTTAGTTGAACTTATATCCTCATGAAGTCAATTTATCTTATTATCCATTTTCTACTGCCATAACAATGACTTATCTGGATAATTGTTAACATTCCTTTGCTTTTCCATAGGAAAACATTGCATGATACTTGCAATTGTCTTTACACCTGTATATGAGTTATAGATCTTCAGTTTGTAATGTGATGTCGTTTCAGGTTTTTGATGACTTTGCCACTAAAAGAATGGTGCAAAACTTGGCTTCTCGAGGTCTATTGCTACTTTGATCTCAAAGCTGTATTCAAGGATATCCTTTTGGTCATTCCTTACATGTATAACATGGATTAAACAGCAATTTCTAATTTTTCTTGCGATTCATGTATGAAGTTGATGGAACAGGGTTCTCATATTCATCGATTTGATGCTCTAAAGCACCTAGCTCCAGATGAGTCTGTTGAAGAAGTTTTGGAAGTCCTGCTGGAATATGCTCGATTAGTCCAAGGACTGTGGGTTCCTAAAAGTTCACTGGTATACGAAACTGAAACTTTTGGAGAGAAGGATTCTATTTCTCTTATTCATCAATTGAAAAATACAGCTCTATATATACTAAATGCAGAGACAAATATGCTGTAATAAAGCACAATAAAATCCCATGATTATGAGAGATAATCTCTCACAAAATCAGGGAATAAAATAAGGAAAAAGTAATTAAATTATCCTAGAATCAATCCACAAATAATAACACTCCCCCTCAAGCTGGGTTGTAAATATTGGTTAAAACTAGCTTGGACTTTAATTCTTCAAATTTGATTCTAGGAAGTACCTTGGTAAGAATATCTGCTCTTTGAAGTTCTGTTGGAGTATAGACCAAAGAGACTGTCCCCTCTTCTATTTTTTCTTTGATGAACTGTCAATCTATCTCCACGTATTTCGTTCGATCACGATGAACCGGATTCTTTGCAATGCTAATAGCAGCTTGATTATCACAAAACGTTTTCATTTGAAATTCGTAGCTCCTCTAGAACCCTTTTCAACCACATTCCTTCACAAATTCCATGAGCCATAGCCCGAAACTCTGCCTCGAAACTGTTTCTTGACATAACTGATTGTTTCTTGCTTCACCAAGTAACTAAATTTCCCTATACAAAAGTACAGTATCCAGAAGTAGACCTTCGATCAGTTATAGAGCCAGCCCAATCTGCATCAATGTAAACGTCTACATTTCTTTTCGTAGTCTTACAAAAATAAAGTCCTTTGCCTGGAATCATTTTAAGATATTTTAGTATTCTNTAGAATCAATCCACAAATTACAACACTCCCCCTCAAGCTGGGTTGTAAATATTGGTTAAAACTAGCTTGGACTTCAATTCTTCAAATTTGATTCTAGGAAGTACCTTGGTAAGAATATCTACTCTTTGAAGTTCTGTTGGAGTATAGACCAAAGAGACTGTCCCCTCTTCTATTTTTTCTTTGATGAACTGTCAATCTATCTCCACATGTTTCCTTCGATCACGATGAATCGGATTCTTTGCAATGCTAATAGCAGCTTGATTATCACAAAACGTTTTCATTTGAAATTCTTAGCTCCTCTAGAACCCTTTTCAACCACATTCCTTCACAAATTCCATGAGCCATAGCCCGAAACTCTGCCTCGATACTGTTTCTTGACATAACTGATTGTTTCTTGCTTCACCAAGTAACTAAATTTCCCCATACAAAAGTACAGTATCCAGAAGTAGACCTTCGATCAGTTATAGAGCCAGCCCAATCTGCATCAATGTAAATGTCTACATTTCTTTTCGTAGTCTTACAAAAATAAAGTCCTTTGCCTGGAGTCATTTTAAGATATTTTAGTATTCTNNNNTCATTTTAAGATATTTTAGTATTCTGTAAACTGCGTTCATGTGTTCTTCAGTTGGGTTATTCATGAATTAGCTTACTGTGCTAACTGCAAAGCTAATATCAGGTCTAGTGTGGGACAAATATATGAGCTTTTCCACTAGTCTTTGATATCTCCCTTTGTCTACGGGTGTGCTATCTTCCATAGGGCCAATTTTTATACTACAATCCATAGGAGTGTCTGCTGGTTTACTCCCTAACATCCCAGTTTCTTTTAACAAATCTAAGACATACTTACTTTGAGAAACAACTATGCCTTTCTTTGATCGAGCAATTTCCATTCCAAGAAAGTACTTGAGATTCCCTAAATCTTTAATCTCAAATTCTTTGGCCAACTGATATTTTAGCCTACACATTTCATCATCTTGGTCTCCAGTTAGAATGATATCTTCAACATACACAATAATTATTGCTATTTTCCCCCCAAGAAAATGTTAAACAAATAAAGTATGATATGATTGACATTGAGTGTAACCATACCTTTTAACTGCCTTCGTGAAGCAGTCAAACCAAGCCCGAGGAGACCGTTTAAGACCATAAAGAGATTTTCTGAGTTTGCAGACTTTGTTGATATTTCCTTTTGTTTCTAGGCCAAAAAGATTATCCATATACACATCTTCTTCCAGATCACAGTTAAGAAATGCATTCTTAACATCAAGTTGATGGAGTGTCCAATCTTGATTTGCTGCTATAGATAACAATACTCGGATTGTGTTCAACTTTGCAACAGGAGCAAATGTTTCTTGATAATCGACACCATATGACTGAGTGTACCACTTTGCAACCAGTCTTGCTTTGAATCTGTCTATGCTCCCATTTCCCTTGTATTTGACCGTAAATATCCATTTGCATCCAACTATCTTCTTTCCTTCAGGTAAATAGGTGATTTCCCATGTTCTTTTCTTCTCTAGTGCTCAGATTTCTTCTTCAACTGCTGTCCTCCATTCAGGTGTTTGAAGGGCTTCCTGAATGTTGTTAGGAATTTGTATAAATGTCAAACTAGTAGTGAAAGCATGGAATCCAGGTGACAAGCCATCATAGGAAATGAAATTATAAATGGGATCTATCTCCCTTCCTGATTGCAATTGGTACATCTAGATCTTCGCCTTGACTCTCACTAGGAACAGATGAAGATTCAGGGTTACCTGATTTTATTTCCTTTGGTTCTGGATTCGGATCAGCTTCATGACTTTTTCGAGTTGTGTTCATGGTGCTATGTCCTCTTGATTCTTCTTTTTCCTGTAATATACAATGACCTCATTGTTATTGGTAGGATTTTCTTGAGACTCAACTTGTAAAGGTTGCAAATGCTCATATGTAGAGTTCATGGATATTTGTGTTGGAAAAATGGAATTGAATTTTGAATAAGGATTATGGTTGTTTTCAGTTTCCCAAAAGGGATATTCATGTGTCACATTCTCCCCCTGAATATCGATTTTGGGAAAGAATGATTGTTTTTCAAAAAAGGTGACATCCATAGAGGTGTAGAACTTTCTAGTCCCTGGGGAATAGCATTTGTAACCCTTCTAATTGGCTGAGTGCCCAATAAACACACACTTTATAGCTTTACGATCCAATTTACTTCGGTGTTGAGAATGTACATGGACAAATATTGAACAACCGAAAACCTTTGGTGGAATATTGGAGAAAAGTCTAGTGTTGGGATGAGTTTTCAGAAGGATTTGCATGGGACTGTAGAAGTGAAGGACACGCGAGGGCATTCTATTGATAAGATAAGCTGCGGTGAGTACAACTTCTCCCCAGAAATATTTTGGCACATTGGTGGAAAACAGGAGAGATCTCGCAACTTCTAATAGGTGTCTGTTTTTTCTTTCGGCGATTCCATTTTGTTGGGGGTATCTATACATGAGCTTTGATGAACAATTCCCTCTTTTTTCAGAAAATCTCCCAAGTAAGAAACACCCAAGTAAGTCTAGTGTGATCATCAACAAATAAACAAACCATCTTGATCCAGTCACATTTTTAATTCTAGACGCTTCCCAAACATCGCTATGAATCATAGAAAATGGCTTTGAGGAGTTATAGTGTTGGACAGGATAAGAATTGTGAACTTTCTTGGCTAACTGACAGATTTCACACTGATAAACATTAGGCTCGTTATTTAATAATGATGGAAAAAGTTTCTTGAGGTACAAAAAATTAGGATGACCAAGTCGATAATGCCATAGCATAAGAGCACTATCATTATTTAAACTAGAAATAGACAAAACACTTTTTTCAAATCCTATCTTTTGAGGTTGTTGTTCAGGCAAATTGGAAGTCTTGATAACACAGAGCCCCGAACACACTCTAGCATTGCCAATCGTCCTCCCCGAATCCAAATCCTGAAAAACACAATCATTTGAGTAACATTTAGCCACACAATTTTTCTCTTGAGTGAGTTTACTAACATATAGAAGGTTACAATCCAGATTAGGGACCAAAAGAACACAATCAAGTATCAAATCCTTAGAGATAACTACAGAACCTGTACCATAAACTTTGGAAAGAGAACCATCGGCTATTCGAACAGTAAGATTACCAGGACAAGGTTTATAGTTTATTAAGATTGAAGCATCTCCTGTCATGTGATCTGAGGCTCCTGAATCCAGTATCCAGAGTTTATTTTCTTCTGTTTTAACCTTTAAAGCACTCAGAAAATTACCTTTTTGTGCTAAAGAACCTGTCCCAATATTTGTGTTGGATGGCTGATGTGGCTGATTGAACAATTTTTGCATAAAATCAATCTGTTCTTTGCTGAATAGTTGTGTTTCTGAAACAGGAGCATCTCGAACAGAGACTTGATTTGCTCTTCCTTTCCTTTCAAATTGGGTACGAGATGGCTTCCAATTAACTGGCTTGCCGTGAATGTTCCAGCATGTTTCTTTATCGTGGCCAGGTTTTTTGCAATGTTCACACCATGGTCTTCCCTTCTTTTGACGATTGTCAGATGGTTGAGGGTATGATCCACAGGCTGCCAAAGCTGATCCTTCAATATCAGATTGATGTGGAGAAGACCCAAGCATAAGTTTCTTCCTGCTTTCCTCTCGACGAACTTCAGAAAAGGCTTCGCGGATATTAGGAAGAGGCTTTGTTGCTAGAATTCTTCCACGAACCTCATCTAGATTTTTGTTGAGCCCTAGAAAAAATTTATAGATTCTGTTCTTCTCCACAATTTTCTTGTATTTTGCAGCATCTCCTGGAGACTCCCACTCATTTAATTCGTACATATCCAATTGTTGCCAATCATGGTTTAAAAAGGCGTCCGTGAGGCGCGCCTCACCATGAGGAGCATATTTACTGCCTCGAGGCGGTTCTGTCGAGGCCAAATGTGTGAGGCAAACGCCTCTATAACTGAGGCGCAAGCCTCAAGGCATGCACCTCATGGTGCATGAGGCGTGCGCCTCACTTGAAATTTTTTTTTTGTTTTCAAATTTATTAGTAATAATCTGACTTGGCACTTCTTAAAAAAAAAGGGCCCATTAAAAAGGCTTTTGTGGGCCCAAAAAAAACCTAAAAAACTATATGATATATCATATATGCAACCAGAAAATCAAGAGAACTGAAAAGTCAGATTACCGTCTTCTTTATCCTCCATTCTTCTGGCCGGCTTCATCAGGTATTCTTCTTCTTCTTCTCCTTCTCCTTCTCCTCCTTCTCCTTCTTCTCCTTCTCCTACTTCTTCTTCTTACGGTTCAGACGAAACGAAGTAAATTTTCTGGTGTTAGCAAACCATTTGTTATCTATGAAGTAGTGTAGCAAATCTCGGCAACCTTCTCATCTTCTTCAAATATCCTCAAATTTCCAAAGACCTCTATAAGATAAAGGAGAGGCTTAAGCATATGCAACCCTCTTCTACCCTCTGCAACTATTTAACAGAGAGGGGGCAGGAGTTTCAGAGGCTCCCTCTAGAATGCAGAAGGAAAATATTCTGAATATAGCTGTATAATTTATAGAATTGATTTAGAGACTGCTTGCTACTACTCCAATACAGTAGTTCTCGTCTTCCTCCATTTACCATGCATATCTATCCGAAATCACATGGCTATAATCATGTATTAAATTCACCAGTATTTCAGAACAAATCTTGCATGCAAATTGCAATAACCACATTCAATTTATGCTGTCCCAGACTCCCACTACTGGCAAGGACATGGAAGCTAACATTAATTTATTTAGGATGTTTTAGACGTGTTACTTCCAGACAATTGTTTCCAGTGCAGCTGCATATTTAAGAATTCACGTTAAACTAATTATCCACCAAATTGATGAATGTGATCACTCACCTGTCCCTTTGATAGACAATCCACCTCATTTAACTTAGCTTTACCTCTGTCTTTTTTCCTGTTTTGCTGCAAATTTTAGGTAGTTTCCAATAAAAATTAGATCAGTAGCATTAAGCACACAGGTTTGAGTTTCAGTAATCATCT